AACCAGTTTTTCCATTGTGGAGCATTTTGCTAAAAGGTCTATTTTCTTTATGAATATTTTCAAATTTAATGAACAACAGGAAAATACTTAATTGGGCACTTTTGTGATCAAACCTAGTTGTTTTATTACAGCTTGCCTTTTGAATCCTTTGAGTGGGACTATCAAGGCAGAATATCAGCTAAGAAGACTTGTATCAAGCTAGAGTCTCAGAGTGATGTGTAGATAAAGAGGGCTTTGAAAAGCATTTCAGATTAATCTTTCTTCACAACCACAAGTTTTAAAAGTGCTATTTATAAGCAAAACCTTTCATCATTCTTTCCATAGTAATGTTGGTTTAAAAAAAATGTTTTACACCTGGGAATCAAGAAACACACTGGAAATAAACACTTCTCTATAAAACTTGTAATAAGGTAGAGATCAGGAATCCACTTAAGGCCTATCAAGATGGACAGAATGACCAAGCCAAAGGGAAGGGGGAGGTCATCCCTGTAAACCAACTGTTAACCCCCCCCCCAAACAACAGAGACCATCAAGCAATAGAAAACTAGTTGCTTACTATGAACAAAACTCAGACCCTTTTTGAGTGAAATCTCATTCTAATTTCACCAGCATAACCCCATGGGAACCAGTGATCTTGCATTAGTGTATTAAAGAGCAGAATAACATAAAGACATGCCATGTTGTAAAGTTTTTTTTCATCTTTCTTTGAAATACTGACATGGGTAATTTTCTTAGACACCAGTCTGTCCTGAGATAGTAAATCCTGGATCTTTAAGATAGATAGGGTGCAATTAAAGCTAGAATATGGCTTATGGGGAAAGATCTTTCCCCACTTAAATCACATTGTTTTCATTGCTGTACTGGTGTAAATGGTATTTTTATGTATGTGTCCAGAGCAGAACTGAACTGCAGTATTTCTTTACTACTGCTGAAATATTAGCATTAAAAATGCAATATTTTACAAAAGTCATATAAACGTAGTGCCTATAATACAATCAATTTTATTGAAATTATTTTACACCAGCCTTCATCCTTGAAATGATTCTTCTTTTCCATTCTGGAATGTTTTAAAACTCAAAAATGCTATTTGAAGATTTAACAGTATATTAACTGGCAAAAATTAAAATACTCCTTTTTTCCCCAAGCCCAGAAGAATTAATTTTGTTGCCACTAAAGAAGAACAGACACCCAACTTTTGAACTGACCTAATATTTCTGAAAACACTGTATGCAATTAACTTCCTGTAAAAGCCATCTTTCAAGCAGTCTTTTTCTGCCTCTGAACTCTATAAGCTGCTCATCAGATCCAGCAAAATTAGGTTATTAATAGGGAACCATTTATCAAGCTTGATATGTTTGTTAGAGGCACACTTGTCTAGTTAACCAACACTGTCAGAGTATCTTTGAAAGCAGAAAGATACTAGTAAGGCCCTCCTGAAGTGTTTATTTCTAGTCCAGGTTTTCTGCATCAGTTTCTTCAATGGTGGCCTGGAAGCAGTGCTGCCCTAAGAAGTGGTGCTCAGAGGGCAGAGGGTCTCCAGAAAGGGAGCCCACCTACGCTACAGTGTGGTGTGACAGCACCACTGTAAGATGTCAAGATATCAAAAGGGACACGTTACAGCAGGGTTGACACTGGCACCCCTTGGCAGTTTGTGCACATGGCGTCACTGGTGCGTGTCAAAACCAAAGAGCACTGCTGTCCTCTCCACTCTCTCAGCCCATGGCTCAGAAACTCGGCTTAGGTTTAACAGAGGAAAATGCCTGGTGAATTGTGATGGCAAATTGGTAGCAGGGGATTAGGAAGCAGGGAGCTGACTACAGTGTTTGTCTTCTCCCCCACCTTGCTCTTTGATGGCCCATGCTCTTTGGGTTTGTTCATCAACACTTTGACTTTCTACATATATCCTCCTTCAAGTAAAAAAATCAAAAAAATCAAAAATCAAGATTTCTCAAATCAGGACTCTTTCTTGTGATTTTCTGAGACACAGACCAAAATTTTACCTATTCATTGCTAAATGTGTATGCTCTGACAGCTCTTTCATCTGCGAATTTTCTAAAGGTTTTGGTTTCCTCCTAAAAATCTGTGGTTTTGGAATCTAAGTTTTGCCAAAACAGAACTGTGATATCTCCCAGCTCTGGTATTTGGATTGGAAGCACTTTGATGCAACGCTATGTCATGTGTGTGTTTATTGCACTGGAGTTTGCATCATACGTAGCACCCACAGGCACCTCTAAAACTCGAATTATAACTACTAATAGAAGTTTTACCTTAGCCTGGTGCTTCTGTCCCAGAAACCTAAACCCCATGTATTTCCTCAAGCACCTAGTTCCACTGTGTGGTCAAAAGCAACAAAATCCCTGTTGTATCCAGAGATTTGGAGCCAAACTCATTCACTGCACTTATCTAGACATATAATCCCATCAGACTGAGAAGCTTTGACGTCAGAAATAGTGTGTTTAACAGTGACAGAAGTTGCGCTAAGACAGTGCCCTTCTTCTACCCCATCCCTGCCTCTTTTTTTCTCCCAGCATCACTTGGCTGTGCCTGCAGCTCTCATTGATTTGCACTGTACAAGTACACTGTGCAAGTTTCAGATAAAGCAGAACCATTCTTTCCTAACCTTTTCCTTAAACATTTAACATGTCACATCTGTGGTTTTCCTAGTTTATTTTTTTCTGAGACAAGAATATTGAGGTTCTCCTTGATGTTGACAATACTCCACCCGTGGCAGAAGACAAGAGGACAAAATACTAGGAATGTTGCTTCCTTCTCCTTCCCCTCTTTTACTTCCTGTAAACATTACTGGAGAAGATTGTACTGCAAATTCATAAATAAAGTATACTTGTCAGAAGCTATGGTCTCAAAATATTCTAACGGTTTGTTTGTTCTCTCCATAAATTGTTTATTGGTCAATATGGCCAGAACTTTCAAACATACCCTTCTTTGCACTTCACTGATATCTCCATTCTAAATGTTTTTTATCTAGTATTGAGCTTTCAAAAATCCCCACATTCTACTTTTTTTTTTAATTGCTCATTTTTCTAATGCTGAACTCATTCAGATTATGCAGCACTACATTACCCTGTGTTTCTTTTTCTTATGATGTTTACTAGCATTAAAGGAGAACTGTATGATTGTTACTAAAGTTAGTATTGGCAGTAGGGTTACGCAGCAGGGGGATGCTTTTTGAGTGTTCTCTATGCAGTAAAACAAATCAGGAAAGAAAAATCTCTGTATAAAAAATTTTTCTAATTTGTATTCTGCTTCGCTACAACGTGTAAATGTTCTTCAAGTAACAGACTGATGTTGTGGAATAGTACCCTGATGAGTAAATTATCATAGAAAAAAGTTCATCAAAGCAATGATTTCAGACGTGTGCTTGAATAGCCTATGAGCACAGAACTGAAGATATCTATTTAGCCAGAGATATCACCAATCATTAACACAGAAACCAGACTTTCTTGTAGCTCTCCTGGAGCCCTGCAATGCAGAGGGTCTTCCAATAAAACAATCATCCTGCATAGGATGATATTTAAAATCAGAAGTTAAGTGGTTCAGTCCCCTCTTGATAGTTTGTAAAGAGGCTAAAGAAACACCAATGGACTTAAAAACCCTTTCAAATGCATGTAATGGTTGATAGGTTGGATATTTACAGCTAGTAAGTAAAATATGTTAAACATTTGGCAATTGCTTATTCAGTAAATAATGTGATAAGTTCCTGTAGAAAAGAAGGCAGTTTATCTCAGAATGAAACCAGTTTTGATCCCCCAGCACTTTTAAACCAATTTGACAAGTAACTGTAGCTATATGGGGAATTTGGATTCTCAGTGGTCATTAAATATAATAGGAAGTTAAGTGTCCAGATCCTACAGTAGCTTCAAAAATCTTAGCCATGGACCTCTGGGACAATCACTTTTTGCCCTCTGCAAAGGTATTAACACTGAAGCACTCATATTTTAGGAAAGAAAGAGAACAAATTGCAAAAAACCCTATTTCAAATGGTTATCTATAAGCATTTTCCTGATGTTGACACCTGAAGAAGAAAACATGTAGAAAACTCTGTAAGCTATTTTTTTTATGTTAGAACTATTGCTGTTTCAACAAAATAAGGACCTCATAGTCAAAGGGTTGATTGGCAACAGAACTAAAGTGGCAACAGATTTTAATCAAAATGCATGCTTTGAGGCTGGGGATTTGTAGTAAAGAATAAATACCTGCCTGCCACACATTGTTATATGTGTTTATTCTGCATAAACACCTATACAACTCACTGATTACAGAAGTAATGCAATGGACTGCCGTCTCCCAAAGGTGTGAAACGAATGGGATAGAGACAGCAAATAATTAGTATGGAACAGTTAATAACTACACTGAGTGTTGCTACTGTTAACCATGGTTCATTCACTGCCTCACTGATAGTCACCCTTTAGCAGTCATCATAATACAAATGAGTCTTAATAGGAGCTCCTTCCATTACCCCAGAACAGCATGACAGTAAGCAAGAGGGCACTTGAAGGGCTATATGGGGCACACAGGCAGTAAAACAGACAGATAGAGGCTGACAACTCACTGTTGAGCTGCTCTTTTTTCTTTTTCCTATATTTTTTAACATTATCTCCTCTACACATTTGAATCTATCACTCAGTTCTTCAGTCCTCAGCTTCCTACTGAGATTTACCATGCACACAAGTCAGCACAACTAGCCTACCAAAGGATCCTCAACCACAGTTTATTTAACACAGCACCCTTAGCAATGCCCCTGAACTTGTCCTAAAGAGTATGAACCTTTCCGAAGCTTATACAACATAAGAAAGCTTTAGCCATGATTCAGTACAGCATTTTTATATAACGGTCCCGTTATGTATATAACCTTAATATCTGTAAAACATTGCTGACAGACACATTTCTCATGGCATACTGATGAGCTATAACCTGAAACTCCCACACAAATATAGGAATCTGACTTTTCCACAAAACCCCTCCAACACTCCTGTACTCACCCTGGAGACTTCTTGTGGGATCCAGATGCTGTTATTCCAGTCTCTATTTATTACCACAAACTGCTCTGTTTTCTACCATTCTCATTCACAAGCCTGTGAAAGAGTTATTTGTCTTCTTTTTGTATTAGTCCCTCTCTAAGCCAGAGCCAAATTCTATACCTGCCACTGATCAGATCTGTCCTTTTTTTGTCTCTGTTATTTTATGACGACATTTGTCATTTCTTTCTCTCTGCTTCACGATACAAATCCTCTGTTTTCTTGCCCTCCTGCAGCTTCCTTCTCTGTTCAGTCTCCACAAGGTTTTGTTGCTGTTATCATCATTTTCTCTCAGCATGCTCTCTGTCCTCTTGAAGGCTGGTTTGACAGATCCTCTTTTGTCATCTGCTTGAAGGCTGATTTCAGCTCTTCCTTATAGCACCGTCACTATGCACCTCCTCCATTACAAGTGTTTAGTGTGGAGCTTGTTCTACTAAAGCAATATGTGCTTTTTGCGGCCCTTCCTCCCAAGAAGGGTCACAGGGATGTTAGGTGTGCAGGGCTGTGGGACACAGACACTACTCTGATAATGTCAACAGCTGATTTCCAATAGGCCTGTTAGTTCTTTCCCTTGTCATTATCAAGGATGTGCAGTAGTCATTTGACAGCACCTCCCCTGGATGTCCATGGAATGCCCAGAGAAAAGAATGTGTAAGCTTGCTATCAGAATAAATTTAGTAACCTGTGCTCAGTCCCCCTTGCCTTAGAGATGCTCATGAGGAGCAAACACTCTTAATTGTTTGCATGGTGCCTGCCCATCTCCATATCACCTTCTGAAGGATACACAAGACTACAGCAAATCCATATGGGAAGCACAAACCAAACAGGCAAGTGCTATGGTTCCTTTAATGAGATACAGTAGTTGGCTGATGCATGGAACCCTCCTCTGACACTGAAAGAAACTGAGTGTCCAACTAAAATGGACCACTGATATATACTTTTCCCAAATTCCCCTTTCTAGGGAGGCATTCATCTGCCATTCACACCTCCTTCATGGGGCATGCTGATTTCTTTCTTATTTCTTCACTCTGTTTCTTAAAAACATGTTTTTGCTCTGATGTCTTAAGATATTATACCTGCAGGACAAGCAATACATAATATGCACTTGGATGGCTAATGCTGTCCAGATTATGCATGGACTGCAGGATGCTTGGGGCAGAACTCTAATTTTTATTTTTTTTATTTTTTTTTTCCCCAGGGAATTGCTTCTTTTAATTTAGGAACCTTCCCTTTCTAGAAATGAGTCACCTAATTCTCAGTGAGAGTCAGCAGAGCTTCACCTGTTAAAGCTCTTCTAGTCAAACATCTTAAAATTAAAAAGTAGACTAATTTCAGCAGTAGGCTAAGCACACAGAAGGTACTCGATATATAATAATCTAGTGAGGTACTTATATTATTCTTAAGAGATTTGCCAGCTAGGGAACTGCTACTGGTATTTTAATTTATGTTACAACATGATTGCAATTCTAAATTAAACTCATATAAGCAAGGCAATTTATAGTTAAACCTTTCACTCAACCCTGAACTTGCTTTGCTGTAAGCAAGTTATATATTGCAAGGGCTCTTAACTGTCTCACAATAACTGGGCATGTAGAAAGGTTAAGTACTGTATTGTGTTTGTATGGCAAGGTTTTGGGAGCAGGGGGGATACAGTGGTGCCTTCTGTGAAAAGCGACTGGAAGCTTCCCCCATGTTCGTTAGAGCCAATGCCAATCTGCTTGAAGACGGATGCACAGCGAGCTGAGGACAAGTCCATCAGCAATGGTGGTAGCACCACTGGGTTAATATATTTAAGAAGAAGAGGGGTGGGAACCTGGGGAGCTGCAGCCAGAGAGAGGAGTGAGAGTATGTGAAACTGTTCTGCAGACACCAAGGTCAATGAAGGAAGGGAGGAGGTGCTCCAGGCACCAGAGAGATTCCTCTGCAGCTCATGGTGTAGACCATGGTGAGGCCGACTGTTCCCTGCAGCCCATGAAGGTCCACAGTGGAGCAGATACCCACTTGCAGCCCATGCAGGACCTGCCCTGGAGCAGAGGGATGCCCAAAGGATGCTGTGACCCTGTAGGAAGCCTGTGCTAAAAACAGGTTCCTGGCATGACCTGTGGCCCCATGGCAAGAGGAGCTCACACTGGAGCGTTTGCTGGCAGGACTTGTGTCCCTGAGGGGGACCCATGCTGGACGGGCCTGTTCCTGAAGGACTGCTTCCATAGAAAGGACCCACACTGGAGCAGTTCATGATGAACTGCATCCCATGTGTCATATTGAACAAGTTTGTGGAGGACTGTGTCCCACGGGAAGGACCCCATGCTGGAGCAGGGAAAGAGTGTGAGGAGTTCTCCCCCTGAGGTGTAAGGAGCAGCAGAGACAAAGTGTGATGAACTGAACATAACCCCCATTCCCCATCCTCCTGCACCTCTTGGTGGGAGGAGACAGAGAAAATTGGGAGAGAAGTTAAGCCTGAGGAGAAGGGAAGGCTGGAGGTAAGGCGTTTTAACATTTGGTTTTATTTCTCATTATCCTACACTGATCTGATTGATAATAAATTCACTTCCTCCAAGTTGAGTCTGTTTTGCCCATGACAGTATCTGGTGAGTGATCTCTCCTTGCCCTCATCTGGACCCATGAGCCTTTTGTTGTATTTTCTTTCCCTTACCCAGCTGAGGAGGGGAGATACAGAGTGGCTTTAGTGAGTACCTGGCATTCAGCCAGGGTCAACCCACCACAATTACATAGACTCATTTTTTACCTTCGATTTTCTTCTGTAGCAGGCTAAAAGCAATCATGTAGAAGAATTCAGCCCTGAATTCAACTGGAAACCTGCTAGCACCTCTTGGGCTACCTGGTCACGTGCTGCATAGTTCATCAAGGCAAATCTTACTCATCCTGGTGAGTGCTTGCTCTGTTGCCCACCTACCCAGAAGTATGAAGGGCTTCTGGAACCTTCAGTCCTTCTGAACGCAGTGAAATAATTTACAGAAACACTCTACTGAAAAACCATATCCAGTGTTCTCCCCAAAGGCCCCACAGGAGCCCTAACCATCCTTGTTCCTTCCCTCTTTGGTGAGGACATGGGCATGGGCCCTCAAGAGCACGTCAATTCTGTAACTGTTAGAAAAAAACCAGGATATGATGCAAATGGCAAAAAGGAGAAAATCAAATGAGAAATTCCTAAGGCAGTCCTGTAACCTGTAAACCTTGCTGTTTCACTCATTCCACCTTAAGCTTGCATTGTTTATGGTTTGGGGTATCAACCCCTGCGTGCTCAGGCTTTTGAAAAGTTATTTCAAAAACAACAGAGACAAACATTTTAAACATACAGAATGCATTTGACAGCCTACCTTCACTCTGAGTATCTGCAATTCCCTTCATATTTTTCCTAGCATATGAACTCATGCTTTTCAAAGGAAAACAAGAAGTTTAAAAATTGGAATCTCCTGTGACTGCATGAAATGTTCCTTTCATCCATTCATTTTTTAAATGAGGATGCAAGTCAACTCCTTCACAAGAGTTACAGTTTCCCAAGTCTGAAAACACTTTTTAAAGGTGGGGGTCTATCTTTTGGAGTACCATCATGATATGCTTGGTAGTGTTGTAGCTGGTGACTTTGAAGTGTTTAACTTTCAGATTAAAATATATGTAGCTATGTTAAAATTTCCTGTGGAAAAAAAGTAGATTTTATACATGCGTTACAGTCAGTTTTCACAGTTCTACCTTCTTTTCATTTTTTTTTTCTAATTACCCAAGGCATTCCGATTACAGAGCTACAAAGTAATCTATTTAAAACTGGGTTTTAAAGTGGCCTAATGGACATAAAAAGCATAAGGAATTAGGAAACATTTACTTCTCTTCCCCTTCTTCTTATATTGCCAAATATATTTAAATCAAGCTTGTTTTAAAAACAAATATTCCCAGGGTAAGGATTTTCATATCAACTTCTAGTTAACTTGCTTCTGCTGAATTAGAAACTGCTGGCAATTTTTTCCCACTGAAATGTAAATGATGACATATCGCTAACTAGCAGCATTACACCACTAAAATACTAAGATGCGTCTTGCTGCCTCAAACTTCCCTTTCCTTAAGTGCAATGCCTTAGAGGCTTCAGTGTTTAAATGATACAAAGTACTCTACTAGCACCAGCCTGAATCTTTATTTAGGAGAACAAGCTTCACATTCTTCTCTGCTAACACAGTATATGGGCATGTTCAGCTCCTCCATAAAACACGCTCATACACTATTACTGTCTAAACCAAGGTACAGTACTGACATGACAGATTCATGTTCCCAGCTGTGACATAAGGGCTCTTTGACAATACCACAGTGAAAGCCCTATTAGAAAAACATGTGCCGGACAGTTCATCCAATGCAGTTAAATGCTATAAAAGATTTTCCAGGTGTTAATGAGTTACATGAGTAGAATGAAAATGAGATGGATTTGTGCACTTGGAAATTCTCAAGAAGCAGGGCTCAGGCTCTCAGAGAGACGGACAAACAGCGCTTTATAAACATCACTGGCCATACTTTGCACCTGACCACACGAGGTGATGAGCGACCCTGACTATTCACTGGGGAACTGTTCATTGAGGATCGTTTGCATGGGAAAAGACAGACTTTCATGTCTTCCTGCATTTTACTGCATCCTTTTTACTTTGCTCTATTTGTGAAAAAACCCAGCTATTTTCCCCTTTTTAAGCTTTTTTGTTTTGTTTTGTTTTGTTTTTTACTAAAGAGAAGGAAAACATTATGGCTGTTATTTAATTTGTTGTTCCTACTTTTATGATGGATTTAGCTTGACCCAGTACAGATAAGAAACTGTCATTTAACCCTCATTAGAGCATCACTACTTAGAGTGTAAGATTTTGATGGACAAAAATACAGTCTTTCACAGACCTTGAAAGAGCTGTGGTTGAAATTTTTCAAGGCAATGTTGGGACTTCAGATTTATTCCCTTAAACTACATATAAAAACATATATATGGGCTGCCCAGAAGATTTCAACCACTGATATTTCAGAGTATGTGCATACATGACCTCGCACATC